CTCTCTGCATCATCTGGATACACTGCTATGAAGTGGTGCACAGCAGATTATCCTTACTCTCTCTGGTCTCTGTAGCATTGTAAACACAAAGGAGAAGCTATTGTTAAATTAGTGCTGGGTTTTATTTGGCAAGTTAGTATATTTAGTACCATTTATGCTCTAGTATTTTTTCCCCTTGGCTAAATATAGGGCCCCTCTGTAAAGTGTGGTGGCTCTGTTAGGCAGCTTGAGGCTTTGGCCCGGGCAGTTCTTCAGGAAGGTTTTCAATACCTGGCACAAGATAAGCAGCATATAGGGCTGTACAAATTTAAAACAGGAAAGAGCCTCGAAGATGACAACTGTAGACAAGTTGTTTATGCTGCTCTCAGTCAAATGGAATACTGCTATCACGAGGGACCAGGAGTGTGAGGCTCCCTGAGTAGATAGAGAGGACAAAATGTGTAAGAAAACCATATAGAGCAGGAAATAAGCTCTTGACAGGGAATTCTTGTACTCGGTGTAAAAACATCCTTTGGTCTGGTCTGGAATCTTGAGCTAAATGAACTAAGTCATTTTCAAAGCATCAGTTTTGCTGCTGTTGGCAGGAATAAGTTGTCCCTTGGCCTCTTGCTGCTTCTGGTTTAATTTTTCCTGAAGTTACCTAAGAACAAGCTGTAGTTTACAAAAACCTCATCACCCAGTACTTGTCAAGAAGTACCCCCTTGTTTATAATTTCACTGATTTATATTAACTTGGTATCAACCATGCAAAGCCTGATGTTTTTATTCTGTTTTTGCAGCTATATCCACGAATAAAACCTAGACAGCGAACCCTTGCTTGAGTCCAGTTGTACAACAGTGCAATACCATGCTGGTAACTGGAAACAAAACGTACACTGGAGCCATCACTTTTGGTCATTTCACACAGAGAAATAAAACTATGATATTTAGTTTTAATGGTGCTTTCTCTTGTTAAATGGACAGCATCCACAGTTTTCAAGATCTGCAGTTTGTAAATGAGGATTGTTTTTATGTGACCCACCACTGATGAGGAGAGCGGTACCTCTACTACCTGCAATGTCACGCCAGCTATCGTCTAAAGCGGTGTTTTAAGTTCGGTGGTAGGAGCTTTCTTGTTTGTGTTCAGTGTTCAGAGGTGTCATTTGCAGAGTGCAGATACACTGTCCAGTTTGCTCCAACCCCACAGTAACTGTCCCACGTAAGGATTTTGGGTATTTTATTTGATAACAGTGAATGTTGAGTTCTCATTACTGATCCACTCTTTGGGTTCTAGGACACAAGACCTTCACCTATTACATGCATAATTAAGTAGTCACCAAAGCTTGATGAAGGCTAGGATTTTAAGTGGTAACACACTGTACACTTAAATCCTAGACAACCCCAACAAAAGCTTTACATAGTCTAGCATCTAGTATTATTTGCGTTTAGAATTGAGCTAGAAAACTAACAAAACAACAGTATCTATACACTTCTCAAAATCCCTACACATATTTCACTTGGTGTTTATTTTCTTATTATTCAGCCTACAGCACCAGTGTTTACCTCTACTACTGTAAAGGTTCCCCTACTAACCACCTGACCTTGTCCATCCTGGGCAAAACAGTACTGAACTTGCAGCAGCTTAAGGGATTTGTATGTCTGCATGGATGAAAGTGCAATAGTTGAAAAGGGTAAGAGTCTGGTAAGGCTTATACTTTGTCTTTCGAAGTCTGCCTAAGTCAGTCTAGAAGAAAATATGAAGGACTGGATAGAAGTAGAAAGAGGGTTGTGTAGATACTAAGGCAAGGAGGAGAAAGAAATGAGGTTTAGAGGAGGATTTAAGAAAGGCAATAGCTTATTTGAGGACAGTTTCTGTGGTTCTTGGCAGCCTACATCTGTTGCCAAGGCAAGTTATGCAATAACCTATTCCACTACATTGTAGTTTAAAGCAAAAAAAAGGCACTTCACTGGAATTTTAATTGTACATGATTTTATATACCAAAAGTATATTTTGAATTTCCCATTTTAAGTTTTAGCCATATTTCTTGTAATTTTCTCCCATTTAACAGTATGCAATTTGATTAATTCTTCATGTACAAGTTCTGTGTATAATTTATATATCCATTTCTGCAGTGCTGTAACTTGCTTTTACCACAGGTTAGCATTAACTGTATATATTGTGGTGAAAAGTGAAAGGGTATTATTGTTGAAGAATTTGCTACATGAATGTGGTGATTTCAAGAGCCTATGATACACTAATTCAGAGAACATGTAAATGTGCACAATAAAGTACTGCTAAGGCATGGCTGCATTCTCCAGTATTTTTATATAGGTAGCCACAGTAGATGTGCCTTTGGTCACAGTCTACATAAAAGGATAATTCAAGCTTGTCCTGTTCTATCTGCTAAATCAAGTTTCCTCATTGTTTTACTACCTGCACAGAAAATTACTTACCAGACAACTCTGGAACCTCCTTACACCAATATTCCAGCTGTGACAAATTAATACTTGTCTAGAAAAGCTCTCAGGGGTCCTTTACCTGCAGCTGAGAACTGTGTCCTGGATGTGTGTTTACTCAATTTTTACCAGCGTAGGAAGATGGAGGGCAGAAAGACACTTGGCTCAGCACGTGGAGCAGAGGATTCATCCCAGTTATCAACACTTAGAGCTAAAATTAGGGTGCTCTTTATAGAAGTCAGAAGTTTCAAAGTAGAGACCACATTTCCCATTAAAAAAAATTAAGTGACACTTAATTTCACAATATATAAGTGAATTAATTTATTCATATTTGTACATTAAATTGTATACAATTTCAGATAGCATTACAGTTAGATTAACAAAAGCTAGTTACCAAAAAGAAAATACAAAACTAAAAATTATTCTGGAAGCTTATTTATTACAGAAGTTTCAAGGTCACGTTCATCTAAGTCAAATTTGGTAGCATTTGATGAAATACTTAGATGTTTAAAATGAAATGTTTAAAAAAAACCCCAAGTGATTTCTATAAAATCATATCTAAGGCAGATTTTATTGTACATTGATTTTAAACATTTGGAGAGAGGGAGAAACCTGAGATCTATACCCAAAAGCTATTCTCTGCAGAAGAGACATACACATTTGTTTGCTTTTTGTAGCAAACAGTATATATAATTGTTACTATAAAAGTTGTGCTGTACATTAGTTGTAGTGCAGGTCACTTTCATCTTAAGTGCCAATAAAGGCTTAACAAAATATACAAAGTCTTAAAAGGTGAGGCTGTTTAAAGCATTAATTGTATACATATTGCACACTATAGTGAATACTCATGGTTCAAAAAAATACTCACATTGCATTTGCCAGTTCTTACATAATGAACCACACTGGAATGAGAAAGGGTCAAAACCAGCAACTGTTACCAGCTGTCAAATTAGCAAGAAGTAAGAGGCAGGTCTGTGGAGGCTGGTGTCTTCCCTCAAGTGGCCAACAGTTTGCTGTTCTTACTGGTCCCGGGACTCATAAAGAAGTTTTGTTGCCTAATATAAAGGCAAAATGGCATTGTGTTAACTGAAGTTTCACTTGCAGCTACCTCATCTTCCTACCCTTCCAAAAATTTCCTTCAAAGCCAAGGCTTTAAATTCTTTCTCTATTATCTTCCTTAGACTAAGGCATGTAATACACTCAGATAGGCACTAGAGCCATTTCTGAAACAGGGTTACTTACATGAAAAATCTGAGGTCATTAAAGCTTTTAGATCAACTTATTTGTTGCTTCGTGGTCATTTCTGACCAATTTTCATCAAAACTGCCTTGGAGAAACCTAGGAGTGGTATTTCTGAGTCTGTGGTAATCTGTCTAAATGTTACCGGTAAACAAGGTTCTTCTGTTCTATATCCCTTCTACACAGTTCTGGTGAGGTGTTCCGTGTGTCTCAAACTATAGTATCAAGCAAAGCCCCGGCAATCGGAAGAGATGTGTGTTCTCTGGCTGCACATCCCTTTACCTGCTGTTAACCAGGGCCTCTGAACCTTGCACTGCACGCAACAGTGACAAAACTGAGCTGAACTCCTCAAGGGAGTCCAGTCACTGCGGGGAGGCTGTTACCATAAAGTACTGGTGCTCACCATGTTTGTGGGAGTTGTATTGCTTGTGAAAAATAAATTGAAACAGGTATGTGGAAGTGCTAAATTGTACTCACAGAGCAACATGAAGTTTGAGTGTGCTGTGCTGAACACAGCATTAAATGCTGGGCTTTGGGGTGGCTGGGGAGCAACACGAGCATCCAGCCACACACTTGCATTTGCAGCCAGCTTATAAATTACAGTTCTAATTAACAATTGATCAGATGAAGAAAGTTCCAGAACTAGTTGGGGTGGTTTTGGTTTTTGTCTCCCATAACCTTGACTTGTGAAATATGACACATCGGTTTCATTAGCCATACAGTGCCTGGCAACAAAAGATGAAACAGTCTTCCACAGGGTCCTGCACCCACCTCTGTTCCCATTTTTAAAACTCAACTTCTCTGAACCTCCATAAAGTAGTGAAAACAATTAGCTGGGTTTAGGTTCGAAAGAGTAATTCGTAATGCACATTCTTCAGTGACAAAGACCTAAAGAACTTGAAAGTCTAATTCCTACTTCTTTTTCACCTATCAATATACTTAGGATCTTAGGAAACCCTCTGCTGTGTCCATCTTCAGGCATCTGAGCATAAAACTGAAGTCATGGTTGTAACAACCCTATCTCCTGTTAGCAACAAAGCCCTAAAATCCTTAAATTAATAATAAAAGGAAAAAAAAAAAAGACTCCTAGGGCTGCATTGCTGCCTTTAGCATTATTAAGCACCCTATGTGAAGATTTTGTTTGGCCTTCTCTGAGTTTTGCCTCCTTTGCTTACCTTATGCATAGCTGCCAGCCAGCTTGCTGACAGCTTCCTGTTACAGCTGAAGTCCTCACTGGCTGTAAATTTCATCTGCGTTAGCTCCTCTGATCCAGGTACCTTATACTGCAGAATCATACCTATGGCACGAGTGTTGCCTCCTGCAAAAAGAAATAAAATCTTGAACAGCAACAGGCTTTACCAAGTAACCCAACTTCTAGCTAATAAGCATGTTTGAAGAAAACGATCTCATCACTTAATTCAAAGCACTAGCAACTGCGGGTGCACTAACTGCTGCCATGCCAGAGGCAGCAGTGACCACGGGTGTTAGTGCCAGGCAATGGCATGTGCAGACTCAACATTCTTTAATTCTTTCTGACAATCACTGAGGCAGAACTTATATAAGCCCCCAGGTAAAGCCACTAGCTACACACACTAGGAGTAGCCTCATGGTTTAATGTTACCAAGTCTTCTCTTAAGTAGATGCCATACTTTCACACTATAGCCTACAGTTTGTAAACTGAATTACTAATATCCAGTTAGACTGATACCAAAGGGTAGCCCAGCTTGATACAAAGCCTGGCATAGCAGTCAGAACTCCCTCCAAAACCGGCAAAGGTTGGGAAAGATGTTTACACAAGATTAGATCACGTCTGGCAACATCATTTACTTCCTGAAGGAAATCAGCTACGAAAGACATTGCTCTGACAACACTGTGATAGGAAGATGTTTGTATCTTTTACTCTAGCTGCACAGAGATTAAGATAAACCAAAGCAAAAATACAGAAGTGAAACAAAAACTCTGTTTAGAAAACCACACTTCATTGGCATTATTTCCTGAAGTAGTAGAACATAAACTAAGCCTCAGGAAGAACACCGCCATACACAGACAGACACTTTTCGCAAAGCTCTTCATAAAGAGAAGTGTCTGCATGAGGGGGCTCCTGGAGGCCTTTACTGTAATATCCAATAAGCTAAACAAAGACAATTTCAGTCTAAGTAACCTGATCAAAAGCACACAAGCAGTGTTATTAAAGTAGTTATTTGCTCCTCTTCTAGGATAAATCAAAATACAACTTCATCATTCCCTCCCCTGCATCTACCTGGTCAGACTAACAGCTTAAGAGGTCTTATTTTTTTTAAAAGATGTATAAAAGCAAGCCATTAATTAACAGTTTATTTGTTCAGTGCAAAGCCTTACTGGCCAGTACACAAGTAGTATATTATTCATTTCTGGTATACACAGTTCAGCACACCTCTGCTGGAGGAGGTGATGCATGCACAATACTGTGTACCACTAAAGACACTTCCTCATCTTGCCTCTCCTCTTCTAGCACGGACAATAGCACATGTGGTCTAGAGGTGGCCTTGAGAGTTTTCATCCTTCAAAAAGTTACAAAAAACATTCATTCTCAGTTTATTAAACAGGACAGATGGGAAGGAACAGACACGTCAGATTTGAACATAAGTTGAACAGCTATAGATCAAACAAAACAAACAGCACTGCAGAGGAAGAAAGACAGGAGGGGGGCCATGACAACATGCTCAGGTGAGTCATGCTCACAGGTACTGGGGATACCTTCAGTAATATGCTGGCTCTCCAGAAGGCTGGTGTAAGTGTGAATATCTTTTTCTACCATCAAGAAGGCAGGCAGGCAGGCAAAAAGATAAAGCCGTCAGAAGAGTAGTGTACAAGGAATTAGAGGAGCATTAAGTAACTCAGCAACACATCTGGTTGATTTGAAGACCAAGACAAGTTATTGAAGTTAACATGCTGTACTGACTGACTGTTGCACAGACAGACTGTCCAATTGGACAACTCCAGAAGTGACAGAGGTGTTGCTAAAGAACAATTATGAAAATTCCTGACCTTGTTTGTTCTCATTTCAGTGAAATCATATTCAAGTTCATCCTGAAATACTCTAAAATCTGGTAAGAGATGAGGCAGTAAGTAGCTGCCCTCTGATTCAGATGTACCAGTTTCATTTGGCCACCCCTTCATCTTGATTGAAATTAATAAAGCAGAGTTTAATTATTTATAACCCCACCACCACCGGTTTCTCTCTTACTCTCCTCACAATTGTTTGTACCAGCAGAAGAGAAATACCAGCTGGATTCTGAAAGGGAAGCTACCAAAGACTAACAGTTCCCTCTCCTATGAGCTTTTGAATCAACAGATGTTTATATCTAGCTAAGAGAAAGGGTCAGAACAGATGATGACCACCTTTACTCAAGTTTACCGAGAAGCTCCCCCATATTACAGCTGTAAGGTAATTTCTCAATTCTTAGGTTACCCCCAACATCCCAGTAGCCACATGGACAGACTTTCACACACTGCACTCTATTCTGAGAGCAGTTGTAATAAACATAGTTACAACCAGTTACCAATAACCTAGATATACACTAATGTGAACAATAATTACAACTTCACTTTTTTTTTTTCTTAATAGTTAATTTGTATTCAGTGAAAAATTTACCTCCAGGAGTAAATCCTTCTGTAAGTATCTGAACAGTTGAAATCTGTATAATTTCAATTTCATAGTGGCTGTCTCCATCCAAAACCAGGTATCTACATAACAGAAGAATTTTAAAACAAATTTTTTTTTCCACAATATCAAGTCCAAATCAAAGGAACAAAATAAACATAATCTCTCAGTGACTAGCTGTTTATATGTTCTTTGGAGTGGAGAAGGGGAGAAATGAAGCAGGAAAAACTACATTTCATTGAAGTTCTTCATTTAAAGGAAAAAAAAAAAACAACACAATCCTTGTAGTCTGGTTTGCCAGGAGACCCTTTCAACATATTAAAAGCATTCCTCCACAGTTCTGGGGGAAGAAGAGAACACAGTCTATGTTCTAGCCAACCAAATTATAGGGATGACCAAAGTAATTCTTTGGCTGTAATGTTAAACAATATGGTGCAGTGTTAGAATCATTCTGAAACAAGATTCTTTTTGGTGGCTACAGATTCTGCCCCCCACCTTCCTATGATCTCCCTTTTAGCTGGCAAAACCACTGTATTCCAGCAGCACTGAGTGGCCTTATTAGTGAGTGGAGCTCCACCATTCCAAGGCATTCTGATCCAGATATTTTGTTTAGGTTATTAGATTATAATAATATAGCTGTAAGTGCAACAGTAATACAAGTGCAATTTCTACCAATTTTTCTCACCTCTGATTGTTGGAAAGGCGACAAACCATGAGCTCAGATTTATCAGATGTTCCCAGAGTTACAAAGAATGTAGCACCTGTAAAGAAATGCTTTAGTATTCTAATGCAGAATTTAGAAGGAACATTCAAGTATCGAAAAGGATAACTAATTTTTACTTACTGCACCTAATACACTGAATTGGGTGAATTAAAGGACTAATTGAAATGTTAAACTGATTAACATCAGCAGAACACTCAAGTACAAAAAGCTGATCTTTAATTACCATGTTCTGAAACACAGGACCTTTCACAACTGCTGTGTAATTTCTCCCACATGATGATATCCAAGACAAATCTTTTAAAAATGAGAAGAGATTTGGAGATGGCAAAAATACGCAATTAAAGACCCTATCTTGTCACCATAATACAAGCTGTTGTTTTAATATTTAAAAAAAATATATATCTTTCAGAAGAATAATAATAGCAGGGTGTGATCTTCAGCCTATGCTTAGTAAAGACACCTCCTTTTCATTACTGAAGACTAGCTCAGTCTTTGAGGTCAATGAACTTCAGGCTTCATGTTAGTTTCTTCCTGCTCAAACAGCTCCTTTGACATCGGGAAAGTCATCTTAGCTACATTAGTGGAGTGATTCATAACTTAAACTAAAGCAGACTACATGCCTAACCACTTTACTTCCTCCATGCCTCACGCTCCCTGTATTACCTAATCCCAATACTGTTGGTCTGGGAAATGAAAAAAAGTAACAACATACAGCCCTGCCAAATGGTCTGCAATCCATCTCCACAATCTGAACGAAGCAGCCTCTGAGAGCTTCACCACACTATTTCACAATTTACGCAGTCGCCCTGACCCCTCAGCATGGACCCCCAGGCTGCTGCTGAAGCGAGACAGAGAGACAACAGCAGCAAAACTGCAAAGGACATCACAGCCACCACCTCTCTGACTGCGATCTGTGGCTCTATGGTGTCAGGAACTACTTCAGACTTTAACTGCGTAACACGAAGGCAAGCAGAACAAGTTTTTAAAAAGTCTTCAGTTTGAAATACATTATTTAAAAACTCATCTACACCTTCATCTTCAAAGCAGAGTGAAGAACGATTTGTGTGTTACAGGGATGAACATACTCCTTTCTGAACCCAGAATCTGCCTAGGAACATTCACGCTAATCAGACGTGGTTTAGCTTACCAATTATACACACTGGCAATCATGCTGAGAGAGCCCATCAAAAGGCACTGAACAATCACAGAGTATGTTAAAAACTGAAGACACAGCTTCCTTAATGCAAGTGGAACACAAATTACTGTAGTTTTTAATGCTACGCAAAATTGACCACTCACGATGATCTGCCATCAACCACAGCTGTAGGCCATGGACAAGATTAAAGCTCACAGATGAAGCTTGAAACAAGCACTGTATCTTGTTAGAAAATATTAAAATATTCTCTATTGTATTTTTCATCCTTATTTAATGTAACAGGAATATGGCCAAAAGATGCATGATTTTAAGAAAAATGCCAACTGCACACGTCTGTTCTCGGAGGCATTAAAAATTCCTTTGTCTTTAATTAAACCACTCTTTGCAAACTTCTCTCTAAATAAACTGCTAACACAGAATTATTAACTGGCAAACAAGAAGCATGACAACAAAACAGTATTTAAAGGACAAAACTGCAGCTTGTTTGACAAGAGGCACCACTCTTGCTGTTTATCAGGTTTGTTTAACACAGCATTTGAATAAATGTGAGATCAAACCAGCATATATATGCATTCAGTCCTTACCATTCATTAGTACTTTAAGCTGTTTGTCATAAAACTCTGTTTCTTTCTGAGAGATGAGAGCACATTCAGCACACTGGCGCACAGGGTCCACGAAGCACATGCGAGGCAGAGGCACTTTTTTACTGCAGCACTTGTCACAGAAACACTTCCCACATCTTCGGCAGTGGTGCTAAGCAGGAGAGAACATTTTGTTTATCTATTTACAAAGGAAACTATTAGAGAATAATTTGATAAAATTACTACATTAAATATCCTCCTCCCTGAAAACCAGAACAGTTTCTCAGTTGTGAAATATACAACTTGAGGGACAGGTAAAGGAAATTTAACTGCTGGAATGGTAGAAAGAAATCTCTGAAGGCTGAACACAAAGGACTGAGTATAGTATGAACAACAGCACTATAATAAGCCTTTGCTGGCACTCTATAAACAAGCAGACTAGACATTGAAAGGGCTTCTCCAGTGCCCAGCAGATCCTTCACCTTACTGTCAGTAAGAACACAACAGAAGAATGGTTTCTAGGCCCCTTCCCACTTCCAAGCAAAGATCCTGGAAAACTTCAACTGAAGATCCTATTCTTCTGCCTTAAAACTCACTATCAAGTTTCTCCCATGGAAAAAGATAAAAATCTTTATACTCAAGATCTAAACCTATTTCTCTATCGGAAATATCAGGCAGCATAGTACAAATCCAATGAAGTTGCAAAATCAGAATTAGTATTGCAATTGTGTTTCACAGCAACTACATCTGCAACAAGTGGCTTGTGCTCCAAATCCCTACCAGGGTGTGACAGTCCCAGCAGGTCTTCCCAGTGCACGTTCTCATGTCAGGACAAGTATTCCCAGGCAAGCAGGAACTGATGTGTGGCTCAAAGCAAGTCTGAACAGTTTGATACAAGGAACTGATACACTGCAGTTTTGGTCAGTGTTAGGATTTCCTTCCAAATATCATGCAAAATTTTCTGAAGTACCTATTTCCCAAGGCTACCTCCATTTATTTCCCAAAGCTAAAACACAGCCGTCTAATGAATTAGTGCTTCTCAACCAAAACACTCCAACCAACCAACCACCATGCTCTTAATTCATCCAACTAAAAGGTAACACAAGAACTAGGAGAAAGTATGATCCAAGATTGAGGGGAAGTGGAGAGGGAGGTGCTGATCTCTTCTCCCTGGTATCCAGTGATGGGATGCATGGGAGTGGTTCAAAGCTGCACCAGGGGAGGTTTAGACTTGACATTAGGAAGCATTTCTTTACCAAGAGGACAATCAAACACTGGAACAGGCTTCCTTGAGAGGTGGTCGATGCCCCAAGCCTGTCAGTGTTTAAGAGGCATTTGGACAATGCCCTTAATAACATGCTTTAACTTGGTCAGCCCTGGAGTGGTCAGGCAGTTGGGCCAGATGATCACTGTAGGTCCTTTCCAACTGAAATAGTCTATTCTATTTCTAGGATCACCAACTGACATCCTAATGCTCTTCAGGCCTCCTGAAAATTTATACCTGTCTGGTACAATATATTAGTATGCCTGGTCTACAATTTCTCCTTCCCTCTCCCTCCAAACAATAAGTTAGAAAACACTGACTATGTCCATGCACTACAAGTTCCATTTCTACATCCTTCTTCACTTTCACAAGCGCATGCTAAGAGAGTGTCAGTGTAGTCAAAGGGATGATATTTCCCACTAAAAATCACTGTTGGCCTTTTTGTGGAGGCTGCTTACTTTCTCCATGCAGAAACCCCAGTATTTTTTCCAACAGTAGCATTCTGCACACCAGCATGCATTCCTGCTTTTATGTAATTAATTTCATGCTATTTCTAGTGTTTGCTCTACATACAGTGAGCCTAATTATGGCTCACAGCAATCAAGGTGGTTTACACTTTCTACTTCAATCAAATTCCCTTTTCCAAACGTGAGATAAACCCCGTTTAACTTTTAGAACAGGAGAATCTGAGTTGTAGTTCTTTGAATTTTAAGAATATGGTTCTTTAATGTGAGAGTGTAATTCGTTACTTCTGAAAACTTTTTTGTTTACATTTCCACACTCATTTTATCTCCCAAAACAGAGCTGAATTAGTTGGTTTCCATGTCAGTACTGATGTTAGCAGCCCACTCCAACATGAGTTCCTCTAACTCTTCTCTTGCATGTAAACTCTCTGGGTACCCAGTAATTTATAAAAAACCCCAACTATGTATTACACATTGAGCAACCAGAAGAATTTCAAAGAAGCAAAATTAAAACAAAAAGGACCTCTAGTCAGAAAAGACAGAACAGAAAGAAAAACTGCTTTAAGTTACATCAGACTTTGCATGCTATTCTACTGAAATCTACATTTTAAATCAAAATAAGCCAATACTAGTATTTTGCAACATGCTTTACATTTCACCGATTTCTCTTACCTTTCTAGTTATGAAGTCAAATTTTGTATCACACTGCATACATCTTGGGCACTAGAAAACAGTACAAATTAAGATTAATCTACAATATTTTTACACCTCTAATCCTACTACCATAAAGCTCACAAAGACTGAGCTTTATATTATGCCCTAAAAAGAAACACCTCCAAATTTCCATCCTTTATGTTTCCACCATAGACAGCTTTCATTTAGTACTGATCTAGCAAAATAACATCATCCCCATTTGTAAAACAAAAAAAGCTGCCAAACTCATTTGCCCTAAGGAATACTGCATCTTGCCAGCAGTCAAAACTACATTTCAGAAGTACTTATGCATAATTATGTTTGGCTATCCAGACAGCCATATATTCCAGAGTCAATTGTTTTTATATAAATTGTCATCCTCACTGTATTATACTGTGATGCTCTGTTGACTCTCTAAAACATTTTTCATGTATTTTAATGCTCTCAATACTTCCGTGCTAGGAGATAGTTGGTTTTCTTCCAAGCTACAACTTATTCCAGCTACAAAGTGTCACCTTCTGAAATACCTCTTTCCTGAATCAAGCTTACACTCACACTCCTCCCAAAAGAAAAGCCAGAAAAGATTGAACAAGTTTCTCTTTCAAAACTGGGTTTAAAGGGTGACAGTTTTGACTTTCTAAACTACTGGAACTGATCAGTGACAAAGTTTTTGGTATAGAAAGTAACCTACCCAAGGGCTGATACTCAGCCATTATATCACTCGATTTTCACCAATATTTTACATATTTTTATTAAACATATAAAAAAACCCCACTTATAATGCAATTATTGATAGATTTATTTGCAAATATTAATGCAAAATTATGCCTGACATCTGAATCAGGAGAACATGGTTAGATCTGTAGGAAGTTTTATAACTCTAGAAACCTTAACTCCTCAAACCAGGCTCTCTCAGAGTACAGCAGAATGTGTCTTAAAAACTGAGTAGGTGCTATTTGCTAGGCACACAGTAATCACCATTTGCCTTTAATTAACATATTTCAATTCTTAACCCTTTACTTTCTATACATTCTTTCAGGTTACAACAGCTTTTGTCATTTCAAGGACTTTTGCTTCAGCAGATAGCCAATCACTGCCACAAGTTCAACAACTAGAGCCAAGAAAGCATTACAGCAACTAAATTAAAAATTCTCTATAGAAAGTTTTGACATTCTTTTGAAGTAGATTGTTAATAATTTGCAGTAGTTTATATGTTCTGATGTCTAAATAGAAGTTTAACAAATTAGAGAGTAACAGTCACTGTAATGGAACATAAATAGCTACTTGCAGTATTTGTTACAGTAAGCTAGGTTTCTAAATCCCACACAAAGGGGAACTAGAAGCGTTCCTGTATTGTTTCAAATAACGTACTGAATTAAGGCATCCGACCACCTCTTTCCACAATGGCTGCAGAAAATCTTATTCTAACATTCCCTGATGAATAACCTTCAGCGTAAAGCAACTTCAGCATTCCCCAGGCTTCACCTCTGTAACAAGTAGTACTCTACAGCTAATACCACATTTTAGTCCACATTCGTCTTGATATAGTGTTTTAATTTTTGGCATGTTTAACTTAACTTGTCTGGGAGCTGGACCTGGCAAGAATTTTGGTATACTTTAAATTTACCAGGAGTCTAACTAAATTTTCTTAATGAAAACATATTACAAACTAGGGGGAAAAAACACTCTTCTAGATACTGTCCTAAACAGATTTCATACACAATGGTATGCTAAACACACAGTTGCTTTTCAAGGAGGAACAAAGTTATCCATCCTCTTATTTTAATACAAACTCTATATAAAAATATTTCTGAATTCCAGACCTATCATGGTAACCTGCCTGATACATAGAGCAGTCATAAACCACAAGTCAAACGGCATCAACGTCTACTTTGCCTGGGAAGAGATTTCTATTGAAGAACATCTTGAAAGGCAAATTCTGTCTATTCATCCATATGCTGACATAATTAGAGAGTGCCTGAGTATGGAATTAAGCTTTATTGCTTGAAGGGTTTTTATCACATTTACAGAGAAAGGAGCATGGCGTTTGAGTTACTTTTCATGTCTCCAAGATACAGGCTTTTTAAAACTAGTGCAAATCTGGGGTTTTTGTCAAGTGGAAACAAAAAGATATGGAGTAAGAAATTAAATAAAAATGCATGTCACAAGTATACTCATTTCACAGACAATCAACATACCACTGATATCAGATTACTTCATATAGCAAGAGAAAAATGGAAGAGCATCCAACAATCGTTGGATCTTGGTATTAATTTAAAAATACTGAGAGCTGGGTCATTACAAGTAGAGTGAAACTTCTCACATTTGCTGAAGTGTGATAACAAATTTACATAATACTTTGGAGCCAGACAGAGGTGAGAATAGTGTAGATGGACAGGAAGCAATAGTTACACTTCGTATACTTTATTTGCATATACAATAACAAAGTGATTCAAGAAGTGATGCAAGGTAATGCCTGGCTGAGCTGGTTAACACAGTGAACTTTTGCAAATGTGAAAGTTCACAAGCTCGTCAAATCACACCTTGTAACACCCTGACCAAAGCAGCTGCTAGCAGAGTGGAAAACAAACACTGCACAGATAGGGCCTGTTAGGCTTTCTGATACTACAACTGCTCAGGGCCAATTCATTGCCTGAGCCACTGGAGTTTGCCAGCAGTCCAGGCAGGGCTCTGTCACCCAACTAGTGCCAACTCTGAGAGCCCAAGCCAACACAGGACCCAGCTACATAAAGCTCAGTTCCCCCTGCAGTGATCCAGTGGCCGCAGGGAATCACTGCCACCACATCTGGAAGCTCCTCTCACACATCCCAGCTCTGAGGCATGCAGCGTTCCTCGGCCATGTAAAGATCTGGTACACAGCTGGATGTCACAAGGTTTGGCCACCTCTGCATTCCAACAGACAAATTTTACTCAATTTCTAATCCAAGATTTCCTTAATAGGAACATCATCAGCTGAGCTCTGCTGGTGATTAACAAAGAAATTCCAGGTTAGACAAGGCACATGCAGTGATCAACATTTTAAGTTCTGTCTCAAGTTTAATGATGCTCAGCACAAATTTTCATATTATTCACCTCATTATTTGTATTATAAATAAGACTACTAAAGTTTTCTGTAGTCCTGCTTCAGTCTTACACTTCAAACTCCTCAAAATAACTGCTTTAAATAATCTTGTGAGATAAAATGAAAAAAAAAATTTCAATGCTATATAAGTTTTGCAAAACTACTAACTACCATAATTTTTAGGTGGTTTTACTTTTAAAATATAAGCCAGGAGCCTCTTCCTGCATAAGAAAAATAAAGGTACTGAATTTGGAAGTGTTACTGTCTGCACAGCAGAAGCTACCATATTTGAAAAGCCAGATCAACACTCACTAATAGTGGTCTCTTGTTTTGGACAAAGAACACTTTTATTTAGTTACATCTGACATGGTAACAAGAGCAAGTGTTCCTGCTGAATTCACTAACTAGATAACATTGTCTCTTTAAATTTCATTTTATTAATAAAAACATGCATTTTATAAGCTTCCCTGTATATTGCATACCTGCTTTATTTAAGGAAAAAGTTTGGTCATCATTAACCAAAGGGATGTCAGAACTTCAATACACTAAGAAATCTACTAAAATATCTTCTTAAAAAATAATTCATATTCTTAATCTTGCATTATTAACAAATTCATTTAAAATGTTTGCCTATAATACACTTCCTCTCAACAGCAATTATCACTGAGCCTGATGCAAAGGCAACATTCAGTCACAAATCAACACCACCAGCCTATCAACCAACAGACTACAGGAGAAAAGTTGAATTTTAAGGAGAATGAATACCTGCAGCACAACTGTACTAAAAAATTCAAACTAACATCACACATCAGGCTGATGTATCTAAAATATACAGACTTCAATCTTAAATATGTTTAACCAGTTTAAATAAATCCTACCACATTCCTCAAACATCCTTTAGTTGCCTTAATGGTACTATGCATTAGACTGAGTTAGAAGTACCTTGGGGTTTTTTTAAATGAAACTAGTCTGCTACAATCAACGACTACTGAAATGTCAAAGTACATTTCAAAAGGTCAGGGAGAAAACTAATTTCAGTTTAACTGTTACACAAATTATATCCACTGATGATGATGTCAGGAATCAGGAGGTTTCCTGGCTTAGGAGAGCACACACAGGGTACAAGTCACCAACACCGCAAAAGCAGACTCCACGCAATGCAAAGGGAAACCACTTATAAACTAACTGCTCAGACTTTGCTACAAGCTCGCTGATAAATACACACCCCGCCTGCAACACAACCAGCGCACCACACCCCGTATGGCCCTGGCTGGTGGGAGCTCCAGGAGCTGAGCACCCGTACCTTCAAACGTAAAAAAACCTCTGGTCACTAAAACGTTTGTCTTATCTACACTTCATACAAGACACATAACCAGTTGCTACTGGTGACAAGGAGGATTTTAAGTCTGCAGGTATGGAAGAGAAAAACTTGAGAAAACTCACACAAGATATTTTAGCAGACTACTTGTTAAAGTAAGTTGGAAAAGTCACTTCTCAAAAAAGGGTTGTTATTTTGGACAAAACCAGCAACTGAGTTACTAGTCATGCACCTTAGGACAGTACAGGTTAGTGAGAGCTGCAGCAGCTGTGCTAGCAGAGTGAGTCTCTAGAATTATTACTTTTACACAAAACTTCTTGTCTCAAGAGATACCAGGCAGGGGCAAAATTTTCTTCCTCATTCCTAACCAAGGAGGACATAGTGTTCCCATACAAAACAGACCAACCATGTCAGTATCTGGCAAAGAACGGCTCTGCTTAACGACTCTCTGCTTAAACTCAGATTGGCTCATCTAAAATAAATCTTAATGCCAGTCACATTTAAGTGCACTGGCGTGCCTCCACACCACAGAATGCTAGCCATAAATAAACAAACAAACAATTGATTCTAAGCTCTATCAGCATCTAGCTGTAGGGACTGGTAAAAAATAATGATCTGATGCAAAATTTGCAAAATTTACTGTAACATCATGATCACATAGTTTACTTGAAAAGTATTCAAAAGCAAAGTTGACTGAAACAGTCCAAGTTTATTCAATACTCATTTAACACCATGAGCATTCACACTGGGAGCCAGAAGGGCTGTTCTAACTTAGCCTCACTGCCTTAATACTTTCCATCTTTTTTTTTTAAATCAAAATGGTCTTCAAAATTACCTTTATAAGCATTTAAAGAGAATGCCTCGCTAAACATTAATGCTGCATAACTCGCTACACTTTTAACTCATTCAGTTCCTCACTAATTTTTGTGACAGGGCCACACGTCCCTGAAGAACGAGTGACGGTCCTACCCTTTTCAGTCCATTAACTTACGCGAAATAAGAAAATTGTGGTTTACGACTGAAAAACCGCACCCGAGCGAGCCTGACCCGCCGCCCGGTCAGTTCGGGAGGGGAGGCGAGGCAAGAGCCCTCCCGAGTCC